AGCTGGGGGTCCTCTGTTTACATGGTCATCCTCAGGCACTGGGCTTATTCTAACTAAGGAAGGTGGGACCACTGACCACCAGGTCCTTCACTGCCTGAGCTCCTGGTTGCTTAAACTTCTCTGTGGGTCCATATCAGAACCACTTCCTCTCTACAACCACCTCTCAAGGCTCTCTCTCTCTCTCTCTCTCTCTCTCTCTCTCTCACACACACACACACACACACACACACACACACACACACAATGTAGCCAGGTGTCTCAGGACTCTCTGAGCTTGAATTATTTGTTGTTTTCAAGTCTGTGGGGTAGCTCAGTCTCAAACCCTGCCTGTCTGCAGACCACCACAGCCATCCTGCAGCTCCTATAACCTGAGTACTCTGCCACACTTGGGCTTGGTACTGTGTTTCTGAAATAATCCTCAGGCCATGAAACTTGCTCTCCCTGGGTCAGGTGGAGCTGCCAACTACTGCACCTTTCCCTTCCTGAGCTCCCTGGAAGCTGCTTAAACTTCTTTGCCCTCTTCTATCTCCTTCTGTGGTTGGGAGTCCCAAGACTCCCTGTGTTGCAATTGCTCCTTCTTTTGAAGTCCCCCAAGCACCTAAATCTGGAACAGTAGACTGGAGAGTAGGCCTTCTCTGAAGATAATGCCTTACCATAGCTCTCTGAATTGTGGAGAATGAAATATTGTCTTGTCCTATGCTAGCCTGTTCCACCAAATCCCCACATTGGGTAAGGCTTGTAGGAAGTATTGGCCTGTCCACAGCTAGGTTTGCCAGTCTGTCACTAAAGCTCCTGAGCTTACTCAGTGGAGGAGGCTCTAGCTTCCCTTTCCAATTGGGGGAGCCAGGGCTGGAGCTGCAAACTGTTTTCTAATTTACTGTTCATCATACTCTACAGTTATCACATTCTTCTTTTGTTGCTCTTCTTCTCTTTGTGTCTTCTGAATATTGACTCTCCTTTGATACCTTGGCTGTTTCATTCACAGAATCAGGTGGAGAAAGCTTCTTACACCATCTTCAGGACATCCAGTCATAAAATTCATCTTTGAAATTTCAAAAAACATCAGGAACTAAAAGAGATTTTCAAACCATAGTAGAATTTTATGTAATATACCTTATATGTAATTTCCAAGGGATTTCTTTTATGATACAAAAGTTTGTGATAATCACAATGAATTACCAATTCTGAAAATGCCACACTCTTTGACAATACTTTCACAATTTGTGTCAAAACCTAAACCTCAGTTGAAGCGCTTCACTCAGGATGGTGATACCACTAACCACTCCCTGATGGTTCAATAAAGTAGGACACAGTGGTGTGAGGTACTTCCCAATCCCTTCAACCACTACTGCACATTCACACACCCCACAAATTCTACCTGAGAAGTAACATTTGCTAGTGTTAAAGTTAGTAGGTTATCATGAGTTGTAGATAGCCTTTCATAGTTACTGTAGCAATTCATAGTTACTTCCTTCAGTGACCTTACATTACAGTTAAAAAAGGAGACAAGCAAAGAGATACTGTGATAGAGGCAACCCCATGTTCAATGGAACACATAGAGGGTGCCCCAACACAGGCTTGGAGGAGAGGGAACTGTGGAGGACTTTCCTCAAGAAGTGACCTCTGCATCATTGAATAGAAAGCAATTAGCAAATTGGGGAAGCCTTCCACATGTGTATTGAGGGAGGAGTGATATATACAAGGGCCTTCAAACTGAGACCCAAGGAAACCAATGAATCCTATGAGACAAAGAAAATTCAATTCATGACTACAGAAAGAGTTATTCAGGGGCTAAAACATCTTTAAAACAATAAAAATGAGCTAGAGCTAAAATTCCTCCTGGTTTGATAAAACGTGAGAAGTGGAAGGTAGGAAAAACAATCCCTGTAAAACCAACTAAAGGCCTTTTCCAATTTAGGAGGACATAGAACTTGTTTTCCACTTACATGACTTCTTTTCAGATCCTTTCCCATATTAAAATTGGGTTGTCTTTTTCTGTGTGTGGTACTAGGGTTTGAAGTCAGGACCTCAGGTGTGCTAGCTAGCACTCTACCACTTGAGCTATGCCCCCAGTCCTTTTTGCCTTCCTTATTTTTCAGGTAGGGTCTAGAGGTTTTGGCTGGGGCTGGCCTTGTACCATGATCCTCCTCTGATCAATTGTTTCTTCTTGAGTTGGTTTCATATTTTGCATCTTCCTGGAATTTTTTTCAGCTCATCTAAGTTATTTTGCTTGTGGTTCTTCATAGTGTCTACTTACAATTCACTTCATTTCCATAATGTTGGTAGTAAGTCCCCCTCTTCCATTCCCAATTTAAGCAATTTGAGTCTTCTCACTTTTTCTGTCAGTCTAATTAAACATTTGTCAACTTTGTTGATCTTTTCAAAGAGCCAACAGCAGGTTTCATTGATTTAATTAAGCTACAGGCTTAATTAGCCTTTATTTATTTAGTGTCTTCAAGTAGAATAGTAGGTTACTGATATGTGATCTTTCTTTTCTAACATAGTCATTTACAATTAAAAATTTCCCTTCATGTGCCACATTCCACAAATTTTGGTATGCCATGTCTTTGCTTTCAATTATCTTAAAATATTTTGTTTTTCCTTATGATTTTCTCTTTTACCCATTGCTTATTTAGAAGTGTATTGTTTGAGTTTCACGAATTTATGAATTCCCCAATTTTTTTCTTTTATTGATCAATAATTTCATTTCTTTGTGGCCAGACAAAATACTTTGTAGAATTTCAGTCCTTTTAAATTTAGTGAGGTTTGTTTCATGGTGTAATATAAGGTCCATCCTGCAGAATGTTTCATGTACACTTCTGAAGAATATATATTCTACTATTGTTAGAAGGAGCAGTCTATAGATGTCTGATAGTACTAGTTAGTTTATAATGCTGTTCAAGTCTTCTTTTTCCTCGGTGTCTTCTGCTACTTGCTCTATCCATTAATGAAAGTAGGGTGTTGAAGTATCCAACTATTATTGTTGAATTGTGTATTTCTGCCTTCATTTCTGTCCCTTCTGCTTCAAATATTTTGAATCTCTGTTGTTAAATGAATATATGTTTGTAATTATTATAGCTTCTTGACTGGTACACCATCTTATCATTTTAAAAGTGCTCTTACTTGTTTTGTAACTTTTTTTGTATTATGATCTATTTTGTCTGATGCTATTATAGCTACTCCAGCTTTCTCATTGTGCCTTTGCATGATATCTTTTTCCATCCTTTCACTTTAAAACTATTTGTGTTTTTTAATCTAAAATGTGTCTCCTATAGACAGCATATAGTTGGATCTTCTTTTGTTACAAAGCCTGACTATCTCACCATTTGAATGGATTAATGTATTCACATTTAATGTTATCGCTGATACATTTAGATCAATGTCTGCTGTTTTGCTTTTTGTTTCCACTATTATTTCTTCAGATAATTTTCTACTCCTTTCTTTTCTCCTTTCCTTTTAACATCATATAATTAATGATATCCCACATTTCTTTGATTCTCTATACAGTTTTCTTCTTTCTTTTCTCTGTGTGTTCTTTGGATTGCGTAATCACTTCCAACTTATCATATAACCTAAGATGTATTGGTTTTATGTCTGTGTTTAAATGTTGTTAGTTTTACATATATTTAAGTTGCATGTTATCAGAGAACATTGAATATCACTCAAGGCCTTTACTTACTTTTCTGGAGAAGAAAATAGTGTGCTTTTTGTTGATGTGACAAGGTGACTCTGTGTGACTTTAGGTAGTATTATGAGCTTGTTACTGTTCTTATTTAGAGATTAAATATGGTTTAAGGTGAGTGCCTAGTTGATAAGGGGTGGACTTGCCCTGCTGAAACTCTCCTTAGAAAGTTTCGTTACTTCTCAGATTGATGCCAGAAAGCTTGTTTTCACAGATTACTTTGTGTGTCCATGTCAAAAGATAGACTTGTTCCTTCCATATTTCAGATTACCAAGAAAAAGTGGAAGATCCTAAAAACTTATGGAATGATAAGGCATTTAAATAATGGCAAAAATCAGTCTATTATCTGACTTTCTCATTAGTGATTCTGAATACAAAATACCTGGAGAAAAATATCCTCTCCCCTAACCTACTATCAATCATATGTGTAAAAACATGTATGTTGACACACCCTTTCACAGAAAGTTGCTGAAGAATATACTCAGACAAGAGAAACAAAAACATGGGACCCAGCAAATAATGGTGTTGGGCCCAGGAGTAATGAAGGAAAACCCTGGAAAGAACCACTAGATTACCTCTGCATTTACATATGGAAGATAGTATGGATCACAATAAACTAAGCAACAAAATGTCTTGTGGGTGCTGGGTATTGAATCAGAGCCTCATACATGCTAACCAAGCACTTTACCACTGAGCTGAACCCTAAAGTTTAAGTAAGCATTAACTCCAAGAAAAGTAAAGAAAATATAGTCATAGCGTAACTATCTTAGCAGTAAACAATATTTGCATATTAACAACCAAAGTTGAGTTAACTTATCAGTGTGATGTAATCAGTTTGAGAGACTGGGAAAGAAGATGTATGGATGGGCTTGGTACATTAGAGATGCATCTTCACTTGCCATATAGAAAGGCAAAAGATGATGGATAATAATTGTGTATTAACAAAAGCAGTAGAAGAATATTTGTTTATGAATATGGAAATACTTTAGAAGAAAGCATTTAGAGTCAAAATTTTCACATTTTCTCTCATGTGGAATCTAGACCTAAAATATATGTATGTTTATATATACATACACACATGTATCCATACACAACTACATATATATTTTATGTACACATGTTATATATATGTAATTGTGGGGCTATTTGGGGGATTAAGGGGAAGGGAGAAAGAGGATGATGGGGTGAATAATATTGAAGTGCATTGTGTCTGTGTATGAAGATGGCATAATGAAACCCACTGAAAGCTGTTAAATATAGGGAAGATGGAGAGGGGGAAAGGAAGAGGAATGAAGGGGATTAATCTGACAAAAGTACAATGTATGCTTGGTGAAATAGCACCATGGAACTCCTTTGTACAATTGCTATACATTAATAAAAAAAAAAAAAAAAAAAAAAGAAAGAGTCTGTTGGGACCAGAGTGAAGAATGAGTAGAAATAGATCCATGTTAGCATTTTAGTATTATTTGTTTTTATTTAGGTTTATGCTGGTAAAAATGAAAATGTGTAAAAATACAATTATCTTTGCAAGATGGACCAAACGAGATAGAGATCATTTTATTCTTATTCTTTTTTTAATTTTTATTTTGTTAGGGTTTGGACTATTCAACTACCAATGACCAAAACTGATGTCATAAAGGAACTTAAAGGAAACCAAGTGGCTTTTGAAGATTGTTTTGTTTCACCCCTTCCTTTTCTGCTGAGCTTTCCTTTCTCGACGGTGCCTGAGACTCCTGGTTATTTGCCAATCACTTCACCAGCTGGCAGTCCACTGATGTCTGTCTCGAGTACTTGTATCCCTTCATTTGCTGTTTTGGTGTCTGACATGGAGACCTTTCAAACAAATGATTCTTTCCATACTTGGACCAGAGTCAGAGTGGATCCAAAGATTCTGAGTGATAGTGAAAGGCACAGTGTGTCCAGTGTGACTCTAGCAGGCCAAGGAATATTTTTTCTAATAAATGGTGCTGTTTACTTAATGTCAGTGAATCAATTAAAAAAACTACAAGGAGATCATGGTATTCCTGACAATGGAATTGTTGGCATTAAGTCAAGAAGGTGGTGTGGGATCAACACATTTTTCAAGGTTAGTGCAAAATTACATATATGTATGTTATAAATACACATTTAGATGTATTTCCCATCCAGTTTGTTCACTGGCATATCAGAGACTGTACTAAGCAGAATTTTGCACAGTATTTTTTTTAACTAAAGCTTCAAATAGCTCTGTCTTTCTGACTCAGCTTTTCAGAGGCCTCTTCACAGTAAAGATGCATCCCCCATGACAAATAATAAAATTAATCTTGTATGTCATTGTGCAGAATAGTTCAGTCATATTATGGGGACTTTCTAAATTTTTGGTATGGGCAAAAGCCCCCTCCTGCTAAAATTTTTCCTCAGAGACCCTGTGTGCTCTCAAAAATGAATCAGACCTTCCGTTTATGACAATATGTTGGATAGGTGGTAATGAACCTCTTTCACTACAAAACATTTCAAAGGCATAGAAGTTTTAAACATTCTTTTAACCATATTGCTGGGCTTATAGGGAGGTTAAGAGAAATCCTGGGAGGAAAAGGGATGTCATGGAGTACTAACCCAGAGGAATAGCAAATTCCAAAATCGCAGCTGCCCTCATGGCTGATCTCAGATGAGCCATGGGACCAGGAGATAAAGTAGGAAATCTGGTAACAACTTTTTGCATAAAAGAAAGACTTTGAAAGAATACCCAATACAATCAAGTCTATGTCAGCTTTAATATTAGAAGGGGAGCAAGAGCCTCTCTTTGGAGTTTAGGTGACCTAATATACAAAAATCCCTAAACTCCCTCCAAAACTATGCAAAGTAAGGAATTCAGAAAAGTTGCAGATATAAAACCAACTTATAAAAATCAGTCATTATTTCTATACACTAACCACAAATGATACAAAAGAGAAATTAAAAAGCAATTCTATTTACAATAGTACCAAATTTTTTAAAGTTTTATGAATAAATTTAACCAAGGAAGTAAAAGAGTTGTACATTGAGAACCATCTGATAAAAGTAATTGAAGAAGACACAAATAAATGGGAAGATATGTCATGCTCCCAAACTGAAAGAATTACTATTTTGAAATGTCCATACTACTCACTCAAAGTGATCTACAGAGTCAGTGTGACCTCTTATCAAAATTCTAACAGCACCAGGCACTGGTGGCTCACACTTATAATCCTAGCTATCTTGGAAGCTGAGATTGGGAGGATCATGATTTGAGGCCAACCCTGGGCAAATAATTCATGAAAGCCTGCCTCCAAAATAACCAGAGCAAAATGAACTGGAGGCATGGATCAATTGGTAGAGCACCTGCTCTGAAAACTTGAAGTCCTAAGTTCAAATCCCTGTCCCCACTCCCCAGGAAAAATTCCCAGTGGCGTCCTCCCTAGAAATAGAAAAATCAGTTATCCTAACATTCATATGGAACCACTAGACCCTAAGTAGCCAAAGCAATCTTGAGGAGGAAGAACAAATCTGAAGGCATCAAACTTCCTGATTTCAAACTGTATTTCAAAGCTATAGTACTCAAAATAGTGTGGTAATGTGCTAAAAATGGACACAGATATCAATGAAGTACAGTCAAGAGCCCACAGATTAATGCACACACAGATGTTCATCCTTGAGAATGGTGACAAGAACACGTGAGGGGAAGAACACTCTCTTGAACACACGTTGAGAAAAACTGGACTGCCAAGTGTGAAAAAAAATGAGACCAGATTCCTTATGTCACTTACAAATACGAACTCAAAGTGGGCTAAATGTAACACCTGAAACTACCAAATTTGTAGAAGCAAATGGGAAAACTCCTTGACATTGGCCTTGGGGTGAATTTTTATATATGACACAAAAACATAGGCTACAAACACAGAAATAGACAAGTAGGACCACGTCAACCTAAAAAAGCTTCTGCTCAGCACAGGACATAACAAAATGAAAAAGGCAACCTATGGACAGGGGAAAATATTTGCAAAACGTACATATGGTAAGGGATTAATATCTAAAATGTATTAGGAATTCAGACAACAAAAGGAACAATCTCTCTTTAAAATGGACAAAGCCTTGAATAGACATTATTTTCTAAGGCGATAAACAGATGGACAAGTGACACATGAGAAGATGCAGATGGCAATCGTGAGGGAAATGCACATCAAACAGCAAGGACACATCATCTCGCACCTGTAAGTTAGCGATTATAAAGAAGGCAGGAGACAGCAAATGTGGGTGAGACGATACGGAGAGAACGGAACACTTGCACATTGTTGACAGTAATACAAATTGGTACCACCATGATGGAAACCAGTTTGGAGTTTCCCCAGAGAATTAAAAATAGAGCTACAATTTCATCCAGCAATCCCGCTTCAAGGAGTATATCTGAAAAGAAGGAGATATATCTGCACTCCAGTGTTCATTGTACCATGATAATGTCCATTGACATGTCAATGTATGTGAGTGAATATTCATTACAAACTAGAATTATATAACCAGGTAAATATTTTTCAAGAATGAGGGCCAGATAAGGACTTTTTCATGCATATAAAAGCTGAGATTATTCACCACTGACATTTCTTTCACACTGGAAGAAATTTGTGGAAGAAGTTCTTCAAACAGAAAGAAAATGACACTAAATGGAAATACTGATCTATAAAAACAAGTGAACAGCACTGGAAATGGTAGCTACAAGTTTACGTGTATAATATTTTTATTATTTAAATCCCTTTACAAGAGAAGTGACGGTTTAAACAACACTGGTAACACTGTACCATGGAGTTAATAAAATGTGAAATGAAGTGTATGACCAAAACAGTGCTAAAGTCACAGGGGAGACATAGAAGTCCACTTTTATAGAGTCCTGTGTTTCAAGTGACATAAAGTTTTGTGAGAGGCAGAAGATGTATGCTGTTGACCCTAAAGCAACAAATAATATGACAAAGGATTACAGCTACATAATCATAAAAATATTCAGTTACTTTCAAAGAAGAAGAAGAAGATAAAAAAGATAGTACAAGTAGAAAACAAACAGTATGATAGATTTAAACCAAACCATACCCATACAGTGTCATTAAATATAAATGATCTAAACATTTCAATTAAAGAGCAAAGATATCAGATGAGTAAAAAAAAGAAAAAGCAAGACTCAACTTGGTTGAAATAACAATAAGATGTTATGAAAAATAGTAAGAAACGCCTTAAAGATAGTCATTTACAGCTAAGTGAATATATCATGTTCATGAGTAGGAACACAGAATGTTATAAAATACTCAATTCTTCCCAAATTTGTTGATAAACTTGATTCAGTTCCTACCAAAATCCCCATGTGCCTTTGTGGGATTCAGTAACCTGATTCTAAAATATATATGAATAAAAATAAACAGCTGAAGGTTGAGAGTCGGTGTTAGAGAATTTCTTCCACCACATACCAAGATTAAAAGGCTATCATAATTAAGACATTATGAAATATTTATACAAGTTTTCTCATAATACCACATTAGACCCAGTTTTGATATGTTCAACCTTCTATTATTTAAACTCTTTGAGTAGGTATAAAGTGGTATTTTACTTAGGTATTGGTTGTATATACTAGCTTTATTTTTATTTTTATTTCCTTTTTTTTTTTTGTGGTATTGAAGATGGAATCCACTTGCTAGGCAAGTGCTGTACCACTGAGCTATCTCCCGAGCCCCTGTATTTCACTCTCCTGAGCTTCCACATATTTAGTGCTTGTGTGGTGTGTATTTTCTTCCCTTCTGTTATCACCCTGTGTGCATGACACTTAAGGAATGTTTCTTATAGATCATATGTAGGGTTTTGCTTTTTTATCCATAGCGATGACTGGCCTTTAAGAACTTGCAGAGCATTTAGACGTGATGTCAGGATTACCATGGTTGGGTTTAAGCTTCCTATTTTAGCATTTGTTTTCAACGAATCCCATTTGTTCTGTGTTTCTGCCTCATTCTGGATGAATCAAACATTTTTTAAAAGACATTTTATTTGTTTTCTCCTTTATTTTAATGGCTATTCTCTGAGTTATAATAATCATTCTTAATTTATTGAAGTCTAATTTTTAAAGCAAATACACTATTTCATAACACTGTAAGACCTTATAGTTTTATAATTTCATTTAAACCCCCATCTCTAAATACGCTCTAAGTTCCACAAGACATTGTTATGTTTTGCTGCTTTATGCAGTCAGTTGTCAGAAAGACATGTAGATATAAATATAAACTGATAGCAAAACAGAGTCTTTTTTTTCTGAGATAACTCACTGACTTTGAACTTGAGATCCTTCTGCTACAACCTCCCTAGTGCTGGAGTTACAGGAGGACCCCACCATGCCAGAAACAAAACAAATCTTTTATACATATATGTATGGTCCAGGGTGTGCTTATGTGTTCCTTATAATTTGCCTTTAACCTGAAGTAAGTTTTCTTGTATTGCAGGCTCTCTCAGCATTTGTTTGTTGTGGTGGTGGTGGTGTGCAGGTTGTTTTGTTTTGCTTTTGTTGTTTAAGAAAGGGTCTACACTTACAGTCCTGGGCTCAAGCGGTCCTCCTGCCTCAGCCTCCCGGTTTCTGGAACTATAACTGGAGCTTGCATAGAAAGTTCATGAAAGTCTTTTTCACCCCCACCTTCTAAGGATATTTTTCACGGAACATAAAACTATAGGATGACAGGCAGCTACTATTACTGTTTTTGTTGTTTTAAATACAATTCATAAAGATGTTGGTCCATTACCTTAGGGCCTCCATCATTTTTGGGAAGAAGTTACCCTTTATTTGTATTATTGTCCTTACATGTACCATGTGTCTTTTCCCAAATAGTTGCTTTTAGGATCTACTCGTCATCTTTGGTCAACCTGTGCTGTTGTGCAGCTCTAGAGTGCGAGTTCCTCTGTAACTATCCTGCTTGAGAGTCAGTGTTGCTTCTTAAATTTCTGAGTTCATGCCTGTCATTAATTTCAGAAGGTCCTTGTTCATTGTGTCTTCAAATGCGTGTTATACCCCACTCTATTCTTTCTTTCCTTCTAGGAGTTCAGAAGCACATGGAAAAGCTACTTTTTGTGCCATAGGGCTCATTATTTTTACCCTCTTTTTTTTCTTTGGTTTGCATACATGCTATCAGCCTGTCTTCAGTTTCACTGCTCTTTTCCTATGCTTTTTCCAGTTTGCCCTTAAGCCTGCACAATAATTTTTTTATTACTGGTATCATATTTTTTTACTTCTATCTGTTTTCAGAATTTGAAATCTTGGTTGAAAAGCCCTAAGTCTTCTCTCACCTTGCCCATATTTTCCACCATATACTTCCAGATTTTTATCACATTGAGCTTGGCTGTGATCACAGTCTTAACGCTGACAGGATTCCAGGTCTCTGCACAGCTTACAGCTGAGCCACTGACTTCCTCCACCGTGGCACAGCGCTCTCTGCTTACACCCTCCTTTCTAGTGTCTGGATGCCCGGGTAGTCGGTAATGGTGAGTTCTCTCTCGTCTGTCTCTGGCTTCTTGTGGGGCATTACAGATCTCTCTCTCTCTCTCCCTCTCCCCCGCTCCCTGCCTCCTTCTCTTTCCCTGCCCCTAACTTTGGCAGGGTTCCTGCTCCACACTCTGGTAAAGGCCCATGATGTCTCAGAGGGAGCATGGGCATCACTCCTGTCACCCTGTCCCACTCCCAGTCACAGACTTGAGGACCCAGAATGCAGATGTATCCTGCCTTGCAGCCTGCTCCCTTCCTGCTTCCGAGGGCCACTGTCCTATATTTGGGAGCCGTCCCTACTGCCTCAGGAGGGCCTCTCAGGGAGCTGATGCTCTTTGACTTACTACACCCAAGCACTGAGTGGAGATACAGGAAAAGAGCTTGGGGTGAAGGAAAACTCCATGTCTGAGGCTCCTTGGAATTCTCACCTACCAAGTGTTTGACTTGTTCCTCTTCCCACCCCTCTGCTAAGAATGAGCACTCATCCTTTTGGTTCTAACCTATTTCCTCTTTAAGGATTGTTTCTGGCAGTCATTTCAAGCAGCTCTAGACTTTAAAATGAATGTTTCTTTAGTAAAGTGACTTTTTAATCCTAAACTATCTCTTCCTTTGGCTACCATTTTGATATCTGCCTACATCTTGTTTAAACTAGTGTAGGCTAAAGTGTATATGAAGTAAAATTAGGAAGGCCAAATGTGCTGGGAAAACTCCTCTGACTGTCACGGACATAAAAGTTACATTTTAAGTTAAAATTCCTAAGAATTAGAAGCAGGTACGGTGATGAGACTGGGAAGAACAGAGTTTTTCTATAAATGACATTAGGTCCACCAAATTTCAGATAGGGCAGCTTCTGAATATCCTTCACCTCTTACAGCTATGTCCCTAAAAGGGTAGGATTGAATTGTCCAAGGCTTTAAGTTCTCCTTTCTGTGTAGCTGATATCCAAGCAATCTAACATTCCAAACTTAATTTAATGTTTGAGGTACCTTTATATCTTTTTTGTGGCAGTACTGGTGTTTGAACTCAGGCACTTTATCGCTTTACCCATTCTGCCAGCCCTTTATTTTGTATGTTGGGTATTTTCAAGATAGGGTCTCACAAACTATTTGCCTGGAGCTGACTTCAAACTGCAATCCTCCTGATCTCTGCCTCCTGAGTAGCTAGGATTACAGTGGTAGCCACCTGCACCAGGCCTCCTTATATTTTGGCCTTAGTAGACATCAAGGTTAAAGGGGCACTCCTTGTCAGAGTGCTAAGTAAGGAAAAAAGAGGGCTGGTGTTTAAAGATTCCAAGGGGAATTAAAATTTGTTATTCCAACTAATAGAAACATACATGAAATGATAAGATTAATGGAACATTTGAGGATTGTATGTAATGTGACAGATTTTTATTTAAGGTACTGCCATTATTCTGAAATATTCTAAAGCAAAACTGAACCTTCGTAGTTATGACCTTTTATTTATTTATTTATTTATCTGGTGCAGTGATTGAACCCAGGGCTTCATGCATTCTGAGCACCTGTTCTGCCTGTGAGCTGCTCTTCCATCCTTACTTTTTATTTTTTAAAGTGGCAAATTAGAAGAAAGAAACTGTTAGACAACTCTTCCTAAAGCTAAATATTTTTTCTAATTGTTTTCCTTTTTTTTTCACAGAACCAAAAAAACCGAAGTACCATGGCAGCATGGACAAACAGCGAGGTTTACCTTGGATATGCTTCACTTAAATTTGCCAGAATTACAACTTCGGCAGAACTGAAAAGTTTTCTAAATCTTCCACCAAGCGATATCCTAACAATAGAAAATCTTGAGTATACAGTACACCCTTTAGAGCTGACCGTGTTACTCTACCATGTGTGTGCTGCGTGTGTTGACAAGAAGGTTTACATACTGATATATAATGAACAGTCATCACAGTGGGTGACCCAAGACTTCGAATTAGAGATCTCCTTGGACACCTTTTTAGTTTCTCGTTCTCTGTTTTCAGCAATGCCGGATTTAGTGCTGTGGGACAAACACAGAGTATACTATTGTTACCAAAATTTCACTCTGACCGGAACTATTCAAACATCTACAGGAGAGGAGAATCTGTCAGTCTTATCGAGTGGCAGCAATATTCATGATGTTTACGTAGGTGAGAAAGTCTCAGTTCTGCTAAAAGTATTCTCGATTTCATCGAAGAGGCCGTCCTGATGAAGGCACAGTGATTTTCAGTGCTCCGGTGTGTGGTGCATTTCATGGTTCATGATACACCTTTTACACCTAAAACTGAATTGATTTTTTTTAATTCAACTAATGTTAACTATGGCCTTCCATAGCAGAATGGCAAACTCAGGTTCTTTGCAGTTTCATTGGCCAATGACCAGATACTAACTAAGCAATTTATCTATTGTCTGTGTGGGAGGTGCTGTGTTGTATCCGTTTCTTAGGGCTCCCACAACAAAGTACCACCAACCGATGGCTTAAAACAATGGCCTAAAAGTCAGAAATTAAGGTGTTGATCGGCCATGTTCTTGTTGGTTGCCTTTGTTTTTTTGGTAAGCCTGAGGTTTGAACTCAGGGCTTTGCACTTGCAAAGCAGGCACTCTACTGCTTGAGTCACACCTCTAGGGTAATTTTAGAGATGGGGATCTTGCAAACTGCTTGCCTGGTCTGATCTCAAACCAAGACCCTCTCTATCTCAGTCTCTGAAGTAGCTAGGATTACAGGCGTGAGCCACCGGTACTCAGCTAGGGCTGTGTTTTCGATAAAACCTGAAGGGGACCCTTCCCTTGTCTCTTCTTAGTTTCTGGTGGTTTGCCAAGCAGCCTTGCCCTTCCTAGTCTTACAGCTGTGTCATTCCAATGTCTGTTTTGTTGTCATATGGCCTTCTCTCTGTGTGTCTCTGTCTTCACCTGGCCACCTGTTATAAGGACACTAGTCCCAGTCACATTGGATTAGGAGCCTGCCCTACTCCAGGATGATTTCATCATAACCAACTACTTCTACAGTGATCCTTTTTTTTTTTTTTAAAAGGTTGTATTCTTCTAAAGTAGCCCTGAGGGTTAGCACTTCAATATCTCTTTTTGGAAAAATGTAGTTCAACCCATAAACAAGTGTAATAGACCTGTGTTCAAGTCCATGAACAAGCCATTTACAGTAGAGATTTCCGATCTCTACTGTAGGGCTTATGTGCTGATTAGATGCCTAGAAAAATGTCTGCTAGCCTCCAATTAGTAGTTATTCCCAATTTGGCTTTTCCAGCCTAGTCTAAACACTGCAGGAAATGTAAAAAAAAAATATATATATATTTATATATGTATTGTGTATATATATATATACACAAAACATTTGATCCTTAAGGAATCTAGTTAGGGGTTAAACTAATTATTGAGTTTAAAGGAAATACCACCATACTTTATTGGCCCAGTGCCACCTGTCAACTCCCAGCACTTCAGTTTTCTGCTTGCCCTTACAATAAAACTCCAGGAAAGTGTTACCTGCTTTCATTTGTTTTCTTTCCTCTCAAACCAACTCTCATCAAGGTTGTGAATAATCTCACATCACTGGCCAGTGGTCAGTTGGCAAGTCACCTTGTAGGGCCTGTCCTCAGAACTCAAACAGTTAAGCACAAACTTTTTCTTAAAACACTTTTTTAAACTTGATTTCTGAGGACATTTTTTCCATCTTCTTCCTCCTTCACCAGTTACTCTTCCTCAGCCTCTTCTTCATACTCCTCATCGTGATTCCTGTATTCAGAAGTATTTCAGGATCTGAGCTCTGAGCTCTGATTTCCACCCCGACTCCTGCCTTGAACTCCCTACTCCTGTTTCCCACGGCTCAGTGATCTCCTCACTTGGATAAGTAACAAGCATCTCAAACTTAACATATCTGAGATGGTTAATCCTGATTGCCACCTTAATGGGATTGAGAACACCTAGCAGATTAATAAAGCTCCCCTCTAGTATGTCTATGAGCACATTTCCAGGGAATGGAATTCCCCCTGAGAATTAACTGAGGAGGGAAGACCTGCCCTAAATATGGTGGCACCACCCTGGAGGAAGAGGACCCAGAAGGAATAAAAGGGGGAAAGGAGAAAGCTAGTCAGTGCAGGAACTGGCCATAGCCCACTGGCCTCAGTCTCAAGGGTATGAAAGGGAAACGCATGTGAAAGACTCCCTTGAAAAGAAAGCCCTCCCAGACTGTGCCCTGCTTGCACAGAGCCGCTGAGGATGGCCTCCCAAGGGCTCATTTTCTCAATGCCTGGCTGCTGAGGCCTCAGAGGCCAATGTGACTGTGGTCCACAGGGCCTGGTTAACACGTGAGCTTGTGACAGATCTTGGCATCATTTCCATGATGCTGGCTTTCCAGGCATGCAAAATGCAAGTTTATGGAGTCATGGAGGCGTCTACCCAGATTTCAAAGAAAACCCTGAGAGGCCAGGTGATGGGTGACCGGGTCAGAGTCCCTACAGGCATCCCCTGAGAGGGTGGGTGATGCAGGACACTATGAGGGTGATGCCTAAGCTACAATAGAGGTTTCAGGATGCTGGAGATGTCAGAAAGGTGAAATATCTGCCACGGGAAACCACAGGGCATGAGAGGAGCCAGCCCAAGAGAGAGGCCATGTGGTTGGCAAACACCAAGACCACGGCTGCCCAAGACCTCTGGGGCCCAAATCCCACTACCATGGTGTGTGCCAGGTGCAGGCACAGAACTACAAGAGTTAAAGTTTGCTCTTCTGGGTTTAAGTCCTGCTTTGGTCCTTTTATACTCCCCCTTCCTCTCTTCTGGAATTGAAATGTTTGTCCTGTGAAAGTACATAATTTGGTTTTTGATTTTACAGGGGCTCACAGCTAAGATTTTGCTTGGGTCTCTGAGGAGACTTTGAACTTGGACTTTTCAATAATGTTGGAACTGTTAAGACTGTGGAGACTCTTACAGATAGACTGAAGGCATTTTGTATTGTAATGTGGACATGAGCCTGCTAGGTGCCAGGGTGGAAGGTTATGGTTTAGGGAGCTGTGTTTGGATGTCAAGTTGACAAGGGGTGGGCTTGTGACAGTTAATCTTGACTGTCAATTTAATTGGATGGAGAGATGCCTGGAAAACTAGTAAACCACACCTTTGGGTGTGGCTGTGATGGTGGTTCCAGAGAGGATTAAGTAAGGGGGTAACCTTCCCTGAATGTGGATAGCACAATCCCATAGACTGGGGCCTAGGTAGAACAAAGGAGGGTAAAGGAGAAAGCCTGACAGTGTAGACATTCTCTCTCTACTTCTTGGCCAACATGAGGTGAACAGCCTCCTCTTCCATGTGCTCCCACCATCTTGATATACACAAAGTCATTGAGCCAGTGGACCATAGACTGACACCTCTGAATCCACGAGCCAAAATAAATCCTTCCTCCTTTGAAATTGTTTCTCTCAGCAACAGGAAAGTGACTTTCACAATATCCAAAATTGAATCATTGACTCCTTACCGCTGTCTTCTCTTTTGCTTAAAACCCTAACTTGGCTTTCCATCTCATTCAAAATCCAAAACCGTTACCACAGCCAGGAAAACTTAAGCGATGTGGCCCTTGAACTTGGATGTCATCTTGTATCACTTTATCCCTCATTTGCTGCACCCTAGCCTCATCCTGGCCTCTTGACTGCTCTGTTTCCTATACAGAGAAAACTGTTCACCTTGATAACTACTTGGTTGAAGGTCAAAAGTCATCAGAGAAACTCTCCTTAACCTTGACTATCACACTCTGCCTCACCCTTGGACTTTGTTTTGTCTGCAGTTCTTATCACACAAAATGAGATGTGTACCTACTAATAACTGATCTTCCACCAGAGAACCACATGTGCGTGACTTTGCTATGTTTGCTGCCTTACCCTCGATATCTAGAACAGCAGATAATAAGTACTCTTTGGAGTAAGTGGACAAAACAAGTCATTCATGAGCACCAACAAGGCACTCTGCTAGGGCTTAAAGACATCACAGTCAGCTGGACGCCATTCCCACCCTCTTCAAGTTTATAAAGTTGCAGAGGATAAGCAAACATGCAGATAAAGCATATCTTTATTTCTGTGAGAGAGCCAATGGACAGTGGTGTAGAAACATATAAATTGAATCCCTTACCCAAATTTGGGGGGCTGGGAGGTAGGGGATTAGGTTCCTTGAAGAAGTGGTATCTAAATTAAAATCTGGGGAATAACTAGAAGTTCTCTAGGTAAGAAAGACATTGATGGGAATAGGGTGCTGAGGGCCAGAGGCACAGACAATAGAATCTGACAGTAGAGACTGAGATGACAAGCTTTGTGTTGTTGTTGTTGTTGTACTGGGGATACGGGGGTACATTGTGACATTTACCAAAGTTCTTGCAATGTATCGTAGTTGAATTCACCCCCTTCATCATTCTCCTCCATCCCCCTCCCCCAGGCCTGGAACAGTTTCAACAGGTCTCACTTCTCCATTTTCATCCATGAGTACATAATATTCCCGCCACATTCACCTCCTACACCCTTTCCTTATATCCTCCCCCTCCCACTGGTGCCAACCACCAGACAGGACCTGTTCTCCATTTTTGAAAAAAGACATTTTTGTTTGTATAAGATCGCTCCACAGGAAGTTTCCTTGTGACATTTTCATATGTATATGTATTATAACCCAACTTGGTTCATCCCCTCGATTTTTCTCCTTTCTACCTTTGTCCCCTAATATGGTGATTTCAGTAGGTTTAAAAATTCTTTATTCATTTTTGTATGGAATAAAACCAAATTCGCCTTCTTAACGTCCTTCTTTTCCCTTTTTTCTCTCATATGTGACCTCGCCTTAGTGTGACTTGTCTCTCATAACATTGCTGTATTTGTATTAGGTCTAAATTCCACATTTGAGAGAGAACATGAGATTTTTGGCCTTCTGAGCCTGACCAATTTCACTTAAGATGATGTTCTCCGGTTCCATTCATTTACCTGCAAACGACAAAATTTCACTCTTCTTTGTGGCTGAGTAAAATTCCACTGTGTATAGATACCACATTTTCTTAATCCATTCGTCAGTGCTGGGGCATCTTGGCTGTTTCCATGGCTTGGATATTGTGAATAGCGCCGCAATAAACTTGGTTGTGCAGGTGACGTCATTGTAACCATTTCTTCACTGGGTCATT